GGAGGCGGCAGATGGCGGCCACGGCCTGGAAGAGGGGCTGGGAGAAGCTGGCTCGGAGGCGCAGGGCGCGACGATTCGGCAGCCGCAGGACCACCGGCCGGTGCTGGGGCCCGAAGAAGAGGCGGGCGTCGGCCAGGATGCCGTACTTGTCCAGCGTCCAGTGGGTCTGCAGCAGCCACTGCTTTTTCTGTTCCCACCAAATGGCGTAGTCTGACCAGTCCTGCTTGCGGTCTGCGGGGCCACGGGAAAGGGGGTGTGTGCATCAGCCTCGGAGGGCCCTGCCCCCAACCCAGAATCTGGGTGCCCCAGTCTTACTACCCCCACCTCACATTCTCCAGCCCATCTGGCTCCCCCCGTAAGCTCCTCCCGCATCCTCCCACATTCCTGGCTCCCTGGCTCTCTCTCTCTGGCATTCCTGGGAGCCCGCGAGGCAGAGGCTGTGGCACTGGGGTTGTGCCCGCACGCAGCAGTGGGAGCTCTGCTAAGAGTTATCGGTTGCTGGTTCTGTGACCTTGGCCAAGTCCTTAATCTCTCTGTGCCTCAGTTTTCCAGTTGGTGAGATGTGAGTAGTAATCCTCCCAACCCAGTGGGCAAGGGACAATGCCTGCCATGTGGTCAGTGCACATGTGACATACTTCTGCAGGCACATGAGGACACGTATTCAGTTAGCAATACAAACGCTTCACTCCTCATGCAGCTACGATGGGTGAGATGCCATCTCCCCTCCATCCTCCGCCCGGGAGTGTGAACTGGCGCGAGCTGAGCACGAAGGATGAGCGCTGCCCTCTGGAGCGTGTGCAGCCCTTCCTTGCCAGTGATCCAGGGCCCTGCCTCGGCCCCACTGCCCCTTCTGCCCATCGCAGGGGACGTGGGCTGGAGGGACTTGCCCTAGGGAGCCCAGCCGTGGTTGGAGGGGTGGGGTCCGTCTGTCTGACCGCCTCACTCCTCGTCTGGGCCTCTTGCGTTGCTCTTGTGCTGGGCCCCGGGGCCAACCAGGTCCCCTCTTGAGGCACCAGGTCTCCACGCCCTCTGCCCTGGCTCGGCCCCGGCCGGTCTGAGGCTCGGTCTGACACCCAGTCCCTGAGGGACCCTCTGTTCCCCACTTCTGCTTTCACAGCCTCCTTGGGCCCTGCCTTCTGGAAGCTCCCCTCACCGCCTCAGCCCTCCTGTGGCCAGGCTGTCCTAGGGCCTGTCCTGTCCCCAAGCTGCATGTGGTGGGTTGGCTGGGTCTGAGGATGCCGGCCCACACCCACCCTCAGGCAGCAGGGCCCCAGCTCCTGGCTGGGACTATCGTGGGCTCGCCTTCCGGCTCTGCCTATCGGAGTGAGCTGCTGCCCTCCCGAGAAGGGGCAGCCCCCACCCCCAGCAGGAAAGGCGGTGGATGAGAAGCCCCCTTGTCACCGCCCTGCTCCTCTTCATGGCTGACACCACAGGCTCCCTGCTGTAACTTCCTGTGGGGGCAGGGCCTTCCCACCCAGCAGGGGCCTGTCACCAGCCTACTAAGGGCTTCCGCCTGGGGGAGGGGGGTGGGAAGAGGCCCCCAGGTCCCCAGGAGCCCCTCCGGTCTCCTTTCAGACCCCCGGCATGTGACCTCTGCCTCGGCCCAGTCAAGGCCTCTCCTGCCCGGAGAAGTGGGTCAACAGAGGGCTGTGGCCAGGTCTGCTCCCTGAGGACTTAGCAGAACCAGTTGGAGGGGGAGGAGGGAGGGAAAGAGTGGGAGGGAGGGGAAGTTGGGGAAATGTCTTTTTTGGAACCGAATGATTAAGCTGGTGCCTGAGTCACTGCGACACGGTTATCGAGAGCTGCGCAGCAGGGATGGCCCGGAAGTACCATGGGCCACCAGTTGTGGCTGCCCCATGGTGCTGAGGTCAGCTGCAGGGGCGGCCGGCACTCACTGATCTGCTCCACGATCTTCAGGAGCACCCCGCCGATGTGCGACTCCCCGGTGACCCGGAGGGTGACCGACTGGGCCTGGGGTTCCTCCTCTCCTACGAACACCTGCAGCTCCCAGGACGAGTCAATGTAGTCCCCGGTGGCCGTCTTCATCCCCGCCATGGCTGCGGCTCTATAGCAAGGGTGGGAGGGAGGTGAGGTGGGCAGGGCGCTGGGGCCTGGGGGCCTGCCCGTGTTCAAGGAGAAGTGGCCCTGTGGTGCCCTGGACGGGCCCGAGAGCAGAGAGCCAGCCCACAGGCCAGTACGCCACGGCAGTCACGACACCGAGGGGACCGAGTTGTTCCAGGCAAACCTCAGATCCTCCCACATCACTGATGGACGAGCTGAAGGGACCCTCAGAGACCATGTCGTCCAACCCGCTCCCATCTTACAGACGGGAAGACTGAGGCCCGGTAGGAGTGAGAAGGGGCTCGCTCAGGATCAGCCACCTCCATGCGAGAGCTGGGCCCAACCTCCCTCTGCTGTCCCAGCCCCAGTTCAGCCCCAGGCCCACGCTGGCAGCTGCCCACCCTGAAATGGCTGTGAAGCCAGGTCAGAAAGCAGGTCCAATCCGGGCCCAAAGCTCAGCTCCAAACATGCCAAGCCAGCCGAGGCCCCTGGGGGGCAAGGCACCGTCGGGGCTGCCGCAGGGAGAGAGGTGTGCTGGGCCGAGGGGCTGCAGGAAGGCGAGGGAGAGAAAGGTCCTGGGGCCGTCAGCCGCAGGCCCCAGCTTACCTTGTCTGCAAGGGGTTGGCGGCTGCAGGTGGGGGTAGGAGTGTCGGCCACTCCCGGCCCAGCGTCTACACCTGCGACCGCCCTGTGCTCCCTTCGCCTCTGCTTTCTCTTCAGTGCTTCCTCCACAGGGGAGCCCTTGCGCCTTATCACGAGCACAGGGCGCGCTTGGCCCCTCCCAGGGCGGGCTTGCTGGGTGCAGGAAGCAGGCTGCCAGTGTGCCCAGGCTCCCAGGCGCCCCGCCTCTGCTCCCAGGAGCGCAGGAAGCAGGCGAGGAGCGGGACCTGGGGACCCAACACTATGGAAAGGGTCTCCTGCTTTGGAGGGAGGATCAGTTCAAACCAGAGAAGCCACCGGTTCGGGGCTAGGTCCCCTGTACGAAGCCATCTCCCATCTCCAGCTTGTCATGAGGGGAGGCCCTGGGGCCACGAGACGTCACTGGGCCGCCAAGAGGGAGAGCCATGGGGTCAAAGGGACAGGATCTAGGTGATTTAGGAACTGGGTACATCAAGCCAGCTCAAGCCCCGGATGTCCCTTATCACAAAGTAGATCCTTGAGGGAGACCCCGAAGGAAACAACTTTCTTATGTCTTCTCAGTCCCCAGTAAAGGTCTCTATTTCCAAACTTGTCAACCTTAGAGTCCCCTGAACGAAACTGGCCCCTGATCATTGACCTCCCTGCCCTGCAGCGTGCCCCCTCTACCCGAGGCTCGCTCCTGCCCAGGCCCTGCTCAAATGTGACCTGGGCAGCTCCCTGGTGCCTGTCACCTGCCCCAGGATGTAAGCTCTGGTAGATACATGACTGGCTGCTGGCAGGAATCCAGCCGTCCCAGTTTGGGGCTGGAGGGACAGAGCCTGGAGGCTATCACACCAAAGGTGCCAGAGTCCCTGCGGAGGCCAGGCTTTCTGAACTGTCCCCTAGATGGGGTAGGGGGCCTCGGGACCTCCCAGGGGAACGCAGGCTTATGCAAAGTCAAGGCAGCAGGAAGTGCAGCCAGCTGCTGGCCTCAGCGGCTTCCTAGCCCAGAAAGCGGCACTCCGGGAGCAAATGAGGAAGTTTTATTCCTGCCCCAGAAGCCGCCCCGGCCCAGACAGGGATCTAGACAGTTGACTGCCACCATGGACAAGTGTGGTCACACACCACACAATGATTCGGTTGACGACAGACTGCACACTATGGTGGCCCCAGATCAGCATCACGCAGCCGAGGTGTACGGCACTCACGACGCAGTCACCTAACGACCATCTCAGAACGCAGGCCCGGCTTTAAGCCACACGTGACTGTGATACAAACCTCCTCCTTTAAGCTCGGGTGACAGCAGGAACTCTTTATTTTTAATTTGGTTATTTATTTAAAAGAAAAATTTTTTTTTTTGAGAAAGATTAGCCCTGAGCTAACATCTGCCAATCCTCCTCTTTTTGCTGAGGAAGACTGGCCCTGAGCTAACACCTGTGCCTATCTTCCTCTACTTTCTACGTGGGACACCTACCACAGCATGGCTTCTTGATAATCAGTGTGCAGGTCTGCACCTGGGATCCGAACACGCAAACCCTGGGCCACCGAGGCGAACATGTGAAATTACCGCTGTACCACGAGGCCGGCCCAGGGAGTTCTTTAAAAACTGAAACGAAGGGCTGGCCCGGTGGCACAGTGGTTAAATTCACACATTCCACTTACGCAGCCCGGGGTTCACCAGTTCGGATCCCAGGTGCGGACATGGCACTGCTTGTCAAGCCATGCTGTGGCAGGCGTCCCACATATAAAGTAGAGGAAGTTGGGCATGGATGTTAGCTCAGGGCCAGTCTTCCTCAGCAAAAAAGAAGAGGACTGGCAGATATTAGCTCTGGGCTAACCTTCCTCAAAAAAGAAAAGTATTAAAGAAACAAAAATAGCCAACTGAAACTAACGTTTAGCAGCTGACAGTAGACCTCGTCTCTCTGAGGTAGGAAGCATTGTCTTGTGAGGGGAACAGTTTCTGGCTCGGGGTGGGAGCCAGCGCTTTCCGGATCTAGCTGGTTGTGTTGAGACTGAATGTGGAGAAGTGACCGCTGGGAGCACTGTTTCTCCAACCCTCTGCAGTCAGGGCCGCTGCGCGCCCGGAGCCTCCAGGCTCCTCCACTGTCCGTGGAGCAACAGCACCACCTGGTGGTCGCCTGGACAGAGCGGTGGACGCAGGCCCAGCTCCATGATAGAAAGGAAGGGAAAACAGAAGTCGGCCTCTGGCTGCTGTCTAGTCAAGCCACTCACACCTCCCCAACACAGGCGCAGGCGGCGACCCCTGCAAGACAGCCCACTTTAAAGTCTTTTGGCAAAACAAAACGACTCCAGGACATAGCAACGTAGAACCACGCCCGACTGGCTTGTTTTATTGGAGAAGGGGACGTGGAGTTAACACCGTGAAGACAGCTGGGACCTGAGGTTGGAAGAACACCCCCAACACACACATGCCCACTGCCCCAAATAAAAAATAACCAACTATGGGAGAGCAGCCGAGACAGCGCCTGGGGCGGGGAAGGACCCGGAACCGGAACGAGGGCAGCAGGAGACCATGCGTGTGCTGGGAGGGCCCGAGGCGGCGCTGCGCCAGGAGCTGTGCACGAGTCTCTGGCTTGGACGTGAGGAGCCCCGTCTCAACACCGAGGGCGGGCGCTCGCCTTCCCCTGCTCTCCCCTCTGCTCCGTGCTGCCTGCCACGGTCCCAGCTCCTCTTTCCACACCAGGGCGAAGGGAAGGGGGATGACGAGCAAGTCATCACCGAATTGCGATCAGACCCACATCCATCAGCTTCTGGATCTTCTGCGCTATTACAGGATTCTTTAAGTGTCTGTGAAGAAGAGGCAAAGACACTCGAAATGAGACTTGACCCGAACACAGCCTGACCTGCTCTGAGAACAGGCCCCCACGCAAACCCCTGCACAGCGCCGACGGGAGGCGGCTGAGGAGTCCCCGCGCCGACGGCCACGGGTGGGGCCTGACCCGTCCACCGAGCAGCAGGCCCAGACACGGCTTCAAGCCGACACCTTTCCCCCAGCAAAACTGGCCTTCCCAAGTGACCACCGACGCCACCCTGACACACGGATGGAGCCCCTTCACCCACCGACTGCCCACCTGGAAGTTCTCAGTAAGAACGATGACAAGGTCCCACCCAGACCGACCGCAGCCCGCCCGCGTTCCGTATTCGTTCCCTTCTCTCCTTCAAGGCTGTCTCCCCAGCTCAACTCACTCGCTCAGGGCCTGCGGGTCCTTCTGCATCTGTTCCAGGATGAGCCGCATGGCCGGGTCACTCATTATCTGCTGCACCTCGGGGTCGGCCATGGCCCGCCGCTTCACGTCTTCGGGGCTGTCGTGCCGGTTGTACTGGGCCATCATGCAGCGCTGGTACCCGTCTGCAGCCTCCTACATTCCGGCAAAGCCAAAGGGGAGGCGTCAGCACTACCAGGCTCCCTGCTCCAGCAGGCCCCACACGGCAAGGGGATGGAGGAGGGAAGAGACTGACGTAGAAACAGCTGAGAGGGAAGACAGTGAACGAGGACCCACGGGGAAACAGAGGCAGGGGAAGGCCAGGCCACAGCAGCCCACCTTACAGCTGGAGTCCAGCTCTAGCGCCTTCTGGTAGACATCCATGGCTTTCGTGTAGTCCTTCATCGCTTCCAGGGCAGCGGCTTTCCGTGTGTAACCCTTGACTGCAGAGGGAAACGGAGAGCGTAGCTGTCACCCAAAACGCAGCTCCAAAGGCCGCTCCTTCCACCTCTTCGCCTGAACGCCAACATCCCTCATGCCCCCGATGCTAGCTCCTAAACGCTACGGGCCCCAAAGACACACAAGCAAACGACACGCCATCCTCTCCAATCTTTTGGCCAGAGTCAAGCAGAGGGGACAGGCGGCGGAAAGGCACTTACTGAAGGTCGGCTCTAGCTGGATACACTCCTCACAGTCCTAGGAAGGAGAGGCAGAAAAGAATCAGGCTCCTCCCTCTCGACGAACTACTCATCATTCGGAACTCCAAATCTTTTTTTTTTTTTTTTAATTTTTTTCTTTTTCTCCCCAAACTCCCCAGTACATAGTTGCGTATTTTTAGTTGCAGGTCCTTCTAGTTGTGGCATGTGGGACGCCTCCTCACATGGCCTGACGGCGGTGCCATGTCTGCGCCCAGGATTTGAACTGGCAAAACCCTGGGCCGCCGAAGCGGAGTGCGCAAACTTCATCACTGGGCCGCGGGGCTGGCCCCGGAACTTCGAATCTTAACTCTTCACCCAGAGCCACTACAGAAAGGTCTACTTGTGCCTCCAGAGCTTCTGTCAACCCCCGCCCGAGTCACTCAACAGCAGGCCCAGCAAAAGGAGGGCCAACGAGCAAGGGAAGCAAAACCACGAGCAATGACAAATCCAGATCACAGCGTAACCCCGCCGCCGCCAAGAGGCCCGAACTCTTCACAAGGTGAGGTTACGAAAAACCCCAAAAGGGAAAACTTTTACTTTGGGAAACCGAAGAGGACACAACAACCAGATGAAATGTATGGGCCTTGACACTGACAGCCTTAACACATATTTTTGGGGGCCAGCCCCTGGCCAAGCAGTTAAGTTCACGCGCTCCGCTTTGGCGGCCCAGGGTTTTGCTGGTTCGGATCCTGGGTGCAGACATGACACCGCTCATCAAGCCATGCTGAGTTGGCGTCCCACATGCCACAACCAGAGAACCTACAACTGGAATATACAGCTATGTACTGGGGGGCTTTGGGGAGGAGAAGAAAAAAAAAAAAAAGACTGGCAACAGATGTTAGCTGAGGTGCCAATCTTTGAAAAAGAACCCAAAAATGTATTTTTGGACAAGTAGGCAATCACTATAGACACACAGCAGGCGGCATACGGCCTGCGCCGGGCCATTATTAGGTGCCAATAACACTGTAGCTGGCTGGAAAGAACCATTGCAGGAGACGCAAGCAAGAGAATATTGAGGTCAAGTGGCAAAATGTACACGATTTCCTTCCACAAATGGTTCAGCAAAAGTGTGTCAAAACTCACTGTTGAATGGAGAGAGAGAACACACAGGTCTTGTGTAGTTTCGTTTGAAATATATTCAAAAGACAAAACTCTGGGGAAAATGACGCTACACAGTGTTGTGTGCACACCTGGCAGAACTCAACTCTGCCCCGCGGCCCTGGAGCAGCGGCGGCTCCACTGCCCTCCGCCCGACGCGCACGAGCGGACAGCGCGGCTCCGCCTCACAGGCCACGGACCATGCTCCCCGTCGCTCTGCAGATGAAACTGCTTCTGACACTACACTTACTGTCCTACCAGCAGCAGTGACGTCTCTAGACCAGACAGACCCAGAACACAGTGGCATCAACCCAAAAGACCATGATGGACTCAGGTGCTGGTGTCTCTAGAAACATCACATTTTGTCACCTTGCCACAAGATGGCCGAGGTTTGTCTCCTAGAGAACTGTCAAAAAATCGCCCATAGAGGCAGAGCGGCTCGTGGTCAAGAGAGCAATGGGGAGCAACTCGTGCAGAGGGTCGGCCAGCCTACCTGACCACACGGACGAAACTAAGAAGAGCAGCCCTGCCCAGCTGAGCTCAACATCCAGGTGCGGGAGGACGGCCACGCTACTGCGCAAAGCAGTCTGGCGGTTCCCGCAGAGAGATTACACACAGAACCACGCTAAGACCCAGCATCCACTGCTGGACGGAACACCCAAAAGAACGCAAGCTAGAGACGCGAACAGATACCGTACAGCCAGGTTCAGAGCAGCAGGATCCGCAACAGCCAGAAGACGCAAACGACCCAACGTCTACCGAGGGCCGAACAGACAGACAAAAGGTGGAAAATACACACAACGAAGCAGCCCTCAGCCTTACAAGGGAAGGAAACGCTGACACACGCCACAACATGAAGCGGAAGATGTTCTACCAAGTGCAATAAGCCAGACACAAAGAACCAACACTGTACGGTTCCACCTATACGAGGTCCCCAGAGCGGCCAAACTAAGACAGAAAGTAAACGGGGATCGCCAGGGGCTGGGGAGCAGAAATGGGGAGTGTCTAAAGGATGCCGAGTTTCCGTTGGAACGTGAGAAAGTTCTGGAGACGGATGGCAGTGATGGCTGCACAACACCATGAAGGTACCTAATGCCACTGACCTGGACACGTACAATGTTAAAAAGGCAAAACAAACGAACACACACGTGAGGAAGGGCAAGAGGGAGGGAAAGCAGCCAGCCATCAGGGAACCGGGAGAGGATGCACTTTCCCAAATGCCCCCAGCCACTCACGGCCACGGGCAGGGCCGGGCAGACAGCTCCCGAGTCCTGCACGCCTCACTCACGCACCACCACCCTGAGTCTGCAGTCAAGTAAGGACATCGAGCTGACGTTGGAAAAACGGGCAGAGAGACAGCGCACTGCGTCCGCACAGGTCGCGCGACGCTGCCCCGGGCCCAAGCGCACCTTGAGTGCCAGCGGGAACTCCAGGAGCTTGGTGTAGCAGGCCGCCCGATTGCTGTACAACTTGGCGTCTCTGGGGTTCCGTCTGATGGCTTCTGTGTAATGCTTCATGGCCTGGGGATAGTCCCCTGGATAAAGAAAAGACACACTTCTTAGAAACAGCACACAGCCACTTGTCCCCCAGGGCCTATCTCCCTGCAGTCACCCCAGGCCCGCAGGGAACGTCCACACCACGCTCGGCGGAAAGTCCCACCATCTGAAAGCTACCTTTCTGGAAACATTCGTTGCCTTTGTTCTTCTCCTCCAGAGCCAGGTCAGGGTTTATGTAGGCGAGCCGCTCCTGCTCCTTCAGGATTTTCTCTGCCTAAGAAAAAAATCATTCTTGAATAGTCACTTAAACTCTCACAAACATAAACGTCGGGCAAAAAACCTGATCAGGATTTTAATTTTCAGAGATTACTGTTGGCAAGACGTAATTTTCATTTTAAGAATTTTATATTCCTCGTTATCAAGGTACACCACGGAATAGAATAAACGACAATGACACATAGGTTCCTCTGCTGTCCAAAAGCAGAGCGTTCCTATGAAAACTTTCGCAAGCCGAAATGGCGTAAAGCGAAAACGCTATTTTCTTGTTGAAGGGAAAATGCTTTTTGGATTTATTCCGACAACCCAAAGTACGTACAGTCGTATGCTGCATACCGACGGCCCGGCCAAGGACACACTGCGTCTACCACAGTGGTCCCATAAGACTAACGCCACTCCGCCTGGGTGTGCGGCAGACGACACCACGTGGGGGTGTGTAAGTGCACTTGTGAGATTCGCACGATGACGAAATCGCCTAACACCGCATTTCTCAGAACGTCTGCCCAGAACTCTGCGGGGCGGTACTGTGCTAACGTAGGTCTTCCATAAAAGAGAAGCGGCAGAACACGAACCTTTGAAAAGCAGGGGATACCCGAACGTCGGGTACAAAGATGCGCCCTATTGAACATGACGCACGTACAGGCAGCACAATCAACTTTCTGATCAAGCTTTTTGTGACAAAAATCGTCCCCGTACATAATGTGAGAAACGGCATAATACACAACACTCTGGTTGCATAGGACAAGAAAAACCTTATGTTACCACGAGAACCATGACACTGTTAGCACACTGACCCTCAACATTAACCTACGTGAGGCTGAAACCTTGGCCCATAAAAAAGGATGGCAAAAAAACTGAGTTATTCCCTACATGCTGTCATCATCAAGGAACAGAGGCAACACCACATAAAATGACCCAGGACGCTACTTAAAAACATCTAAGGTTCATTACTAAATGTTAATGACAATAAAAGAAGTCAGAAGCGAGAACCCACGGCCCGCCCTCTCCCCGCCCACCTGCTGGCACTTCTTGAGCACGTCCGGGGTGCGGTGCTCTGCCAGGGACTTGTTGTAGAAATGGATGGCATCCTTGTACTGCTCCTCTTTGAAGTACGAGTTGCCGATTCGAGCGTAAGCTCTGACAAAGACAGGACAAAGAACTTGCTAGGGGCAGAGCAGACCCAGCTCAGCCCTGCAGAGAAACACCACCTGCCACCAGAAGCCACCCCATGCCGTCACCCAGGCACCGTGGCCGTCCAGCACCCGTGGTCTCTGCTCCTGCAGCCCCCTTCCCAGCCCACCGTCAACAGGGCAGGTCTGAACCAGCACCCCCGTCCCCACGCAGGGAAACTTAGGTCAGACGGAAGCCTCCACTCCACTCCAGGTATTCCAGAAGCCCGAGCGTACTTGGCAATCTGTCTGTAGTCTTCTCGGTTTTCTCGCCCCACTTCAATGGCCTTCTCACAAAGCTCCCGGCATTTACTGTAGTCGCCCTTTTCGAAGTACACGGCTGCCAGGCAGGACGGGCGAGGAGGAAGAGTCAGCCCTGTCGCTGCCCCAGGCCCGCCCGACACCGCACCTGCCCCTCGGGCCACGCCTCACCTGCTTGGTTGGTCAGGTAGGTCATGTTGGTGGGGTCCAGGCCCTTGGCTCTGTCGTAGTGCTTCAAGGCTGTGTCAAAGTCCTTCTTCTTGTAGGCCTCGTTCCCCAGCTCCTTCTCTTTCAGGGCCTAGAAAAGGTGTGGGAGAATGAGCGCGGAGCCCATCGACCCCGGCAGCAGAGCGTGAGGGCCTGTGAGCCGCCACCAGCACTCAAGCGCGTGTGCAGCTGCTGCGTGCACCGACGCGAGCTCTCCACCCACAGGCCTCCTCGCTGACCAGCTACGGACGTGCAACAGTGAAGGACCAGCCGTGAGAAGGGAAAGCTAAGAGCTTCGTCTCCGCTTCCTCTGAAACTCCCCCTTCCCCGCCTCCTCGCCTGGACCGCTGTCAGAAAGCTCAGGGGAAAGGATGGCCCTGCAACATGAAGCCACTCCAAAGAGGACAGCATAGTTCTGTCCCAGGATTTTCTGGGAGAGGCTGCGGCAAGTCTGGTCTCCGTCAGGTGGCGACCTCGGGGTCTCAGTTGTAGGGAACCACAGCAGAGGGGCTGGGGACGGCACTGGGAGAAGGGGCTGCGTGGCGGCAGGAGTCCTCAGCGTCCTCACCGCCACCCACAATGTCAGGCCCTTTTCCAGCGCTGAGACACGCTCACCAACCAACGCTCACCCCTTCAAAGGTGCTAAATCAGGCGACAACGTGACGGTCTTACTCACAAGGGAATCCACGCCTCCAGCTCTGGAAGACAGTGTCGCTACGTGGACACCTTCCCATTACATGCCACGTCCAACCAGCAAGAGAAGCCTGCGGACTGCCGCAGACAGCACGCGCCCAGCTCCCGGAGGACAGGCTCTCTCCAGGCCTCCTGCCCTGGCCTGTCCAATGCCTCCAGCCGGCTCCACCACAGCGGCCGTGGGGCTACAGAACTGCGGAGTTTCTGAGGTATGTGACTCCTACGGAATCGCTTGTGAAGTGGACCTTTCAGCGTGGTGACCACTCTAATGAATAATAAACTTAGCACATACTAAGCACTCAAAAGATGGCGACAGCCAGCCCCCGTCTAGGGCGGTTCCCACCTGCCAGAGGGAAAGCGACCAGATGGTTCATGAACCTACGGCAGTGAGGAGAGAACAAACACGCGACCTGTTTCTTATTCTCTGGAAGATCTTCCTCCATCGGCTCTGGCTTGGTCTCCTTTTTAGGAGGCGGCGGTGGCGGAGGGGTCGCAACTTCCTCCTCCTCATCCATGCTGCCCAGATCGACCCCGAGGAGGACGCTCAGGGTGGTCATGATCCGGGGGTCCTGCAGTTTCCTAGGATTGGTAAGAAGAGAACACCAGCAATTACTCTTCCCTGTAACTGACCTTAAACCCCACTCAGTGCTCGAGCCCAGTGTGCACCCGGAACGCTGGGGACAAAGCTCCTCCCCAGCAGCAGACTGCCTGACTCTGCACCGTGAGTCACAGGCGGGGAGCACTCCACCCTTCCAACACCCATCTAAAACGACGGAACAGGGGCCAGGTTTATTTCTTGAAGCCAGGAGACAACAGACTACTTTGCAGCTCAGAAGAGAGAAATCTCAGAAAACGTGGAAGAGTTACAGGGCCGCTTCATCGTCGCGCCTCAGGAGCCAGGGGGTTCAGGGGCCGCAGACACCAGGACAAGGTTTAGAGAGACAGCTTTACACCTGACCTTCCTCACAACCTCCAGTTTCCACTCCAGTCTACCCACAGAGACAGCGGGGCCTGCGTGCACAGAAAGGACAGGGCTGGCGCGAGACCACAACTGTAGGAGAGAAGGCCGGCCCCTTGGCCAAGGAGTTAAGTCCACGTGCTCCACTTCCGGCGGCCCAGGCTTGCACAGGTTCGGATCCCAAGCACGGACATGGCCCCGCTCATCAGGCCATGCTGAGGTGGCGTCCCAGTCCCACATGCCACAACCAGAGGCGCTCACAGCTAGAACATACAACTATGTACCAGGCGGCTTTGGGAAGAAGAAGAAGAAAAGAAGACTGGCAAGAGATATTAGCTCAGGTGCCACTCTTTGGGAAAAAAAGAATTGTAGGAGAGCAGTGAAGAGGCACGTGAGGGTTAGAATGAACGTTCCAGGTCACTCTGACGGATGCCTCCCCTGACTCTAGAAATACAAACGAACAGCAAACCAAACAACAAACTCCTACTGTTCCTTTGAGAAAAAGCAAGGGCAGAAAGCCTGCAGTCTGAACGAGGGGGGCCGCGCTCGCCCACTTCCAGACGCAGAGCGTGCCGCCTCGACTTACGTGCCCAGGTCGGACGGCTTGCTCCGTAGCTGCTCGATCAGCTCCCGGTAGCTGGGATCCGCCAGCAGCGTCCGGGTCCTGGGGTCGCTCTCCAGCTTCTGGTACAGATTGGGCATGTTGAAAGGGTTCATGAATTTCCTCTCTGTTGCGAACAAAGAGAAGCGCGTCACTAGAAAGTGGGTTCATTCGTGTTACTGTGCCCCCACAGCCTACCTGACTGACACATGGGGGGGGGCCTCAAATTTAATCTCATTTAAAAAAGACAAGCCCGTGTGCACGGGGCCCACCTGCCAACCGCGCCTCCATGTTCTGCAAGCCCTCCTTCAGCTGAGCATTATTTGCTTCGTGTTTTAAACCCTCTTCATAGGTTCGCTTGGCTTCTTCAAATCGGTTTAGGAATTCAAGAGCTGCTGCTTTTCGAGAATAGCCCTTAAATCAACAAGGACAGACACGGAACAAAATAAAGAACACCTAGACGTAATCCACAAGACGAACTCCAAAGAACTTATTTCATGTTTCGGGAACAAAACAGGTATTCATGCGAAGGCCAAACACAAAACAGGAAGAGGGGCAGGAGGCACGGCCCGGAATGATAACCACAGAAGCCAGCCAGCCAGCCAGCCAAGACGCACCCCCGCCTTATGAGCAAGCGTCACTTTCCTCTTACTAGTACAAAAAATAAGATGTCTCTCGTATCTGTCGGCGTCTCAGATTCGGCGACATATGCCATTACTCAGAGGACCGTACTCAAACAGGGGGGATGGTGGGTAATAAACTGCCATCGGCAGAGGCAGCCAGCCGGGCAGGAGAGCCCAGTATTGAAGGAGCGGACAGCAAAGGGCGCTCCCGGAAGGCCGCAGAGCCCCAGTCGGCCCCAGCTCACCTTGCCCCAGTCAGGCTTCAGGTCCACGGTCTTGCAGCCGTCCTCGTAGGCCTTCTGGTAGTCCCCTTTCTTGGCGTAGGCGGCCGAGCGGTTGCTGTACAGCACGTGGTTCTGCGGGTCTAACTTAATGGCCTCGGAGTAGCAGCGCAGCGCATCGTCGATGTGGCCGGCGCTCAGGGCTTTGTTGCCCTTCTCCTTCAGCTCGTTCACCTGAGCAGAAAAGCAGCCAATGCAGTTTCCAGAATGTGCTCATTCAGTCCCGGCTTTTCAGGTAATGTTCCTTCCACTAGTTACCAGTAAACAGCTTACTTTACAGATCAGAAGAAAGAAATCAGAGGCTAATTCATTTACATTTTGCACATTTTTGGGAACAGCCAAGGAGAAAAGAAAAGACATTAGAAGCCCACACTTTGCCCTCCACCGGCTCCTGCATGGATTAGTAACAACACCAGCCACTCTTCCAGAAGTCTCCACTTTGAGCTAACGAAGCCGCTCAAGGACATACTCATGAGTTCCTTTCACGGGAAAATGAATTCATCTGCTGTATATTTCCAAAGAGTCCAAACGATCAACTGAACACAGGCCTGGTCACTCCTCGCGGGAGGCAGCCACCAGGACGGAAGGGTCCCAAGTGTGCAGAGACACGCTGACACACGCTCCCGCGCCCGAAAGGCTTTAGGACGGCTTCTCCAGGAGCATCCACACGCTCACCCACGAAGAGAGAAGCATCCACTCCCATTTACAGGTGCGGTGGTATGTCACAACTGGTAGATTACTGCTCTGTTCCTTAGCAGGTAAAGGAAAGCCAGCCCCCAAAACCAGTTTTTAGCATGCTTAAACATTAACATACTACAAAGGGGATGGGGAGGATAAAGAAACACTGTGTGTGATTTCAGCCTCCATGCTCTCAAACATTCAGAATGAAAGAAGCAGGAACACACCAGAGAGTTTAAAAAAGTGAAGCAGGCCTCAGCCATATTACAACAGGGTCCTAATGAAAGGGGTTTCTCATAACCAGGGATGCCCTACAAGAGAGGGAGGGCCCCACTTCATAGGCAAATACACTTCATGAGACCAAGCCATGTCGTTCAAGTTACTGAACTATTCTCTCTCTCATCCACCCATGCCCCAGGACACTGACACCAGACGACACCCTGTGAAGAGAAATGACTTGGGAACTGTGAAGCACCCAAGTTGGGAACCTCCTCCAACAACCAGAGATCTCAGAGACCACCTCTATGACAGAAAAGGCAGGAGGCGGCCGCCAAACTTAGCAGGCAGAGACAAAAATCTTTGAGCCTAGGGGCTGGCCCCGTGGCCAAGTGGTTAAGTTCGCGCGCTCCGCTGCAGGTGGCCCAGTGTTTCGTTGGTTCGAATGCTGGGCGCGGACATGGCACTGCTCATCAGACCACGCTGAGGCAGCGTCCCACATGCCACAACTAGAAGGACCCACAACGAAGAATATACAACTATGTAATAGGGGGCTCTGGGGAGAAAAAGGGAAAAAAAAAATCTTTAAAAAAAAAAAAAATCTTTGAGCCCAGAAAGCGAAAAGTTTAAAAACTCAGCTAGTACCAAGAGGCAGCTGAGAGCAGCTCGGTGAAGTTCTCGCCTATCCTCCAGAACGTCATTCTCCAAACTGAGTACCGAGCTGCAGCAGGTCAGGAACTCATGCCTGCAGGTGATGACCGGCACTTTAAAACATCAAGCGGAACAGAAAACGCCAGCACGCAGTGCACGTACCAGTAAGCATGGTTTTGGTAAACACGTTATACACTTGTATGCCCAGACTTGGTCCAGTGCAAAAGGTGTATCACTGTGGGACTTACTTGAAAAGTACTTAGTTCAAAAAAACACAACTTTAGACACTTAAATCTGTCAAACTTGAGTATCTCCTGAAACTGAAATATGGATGCTGGAGTTGAAAATGAAAACTTGAGGTAGAGAAGGCCCATGCAGGTGGTAGATTCTAACGCACCTGGAGCAAACGTGTCAGGTCACCTGGAGTAAGATGCCAGGTCGTTTGTACCACCGTCTGGGTAAATGCGCAGTTCTGAGTTCAGGCAAACCTTCATTCAGGGTCTACCTGTGCACCCTCTTTTATAATGGGCAGTGTGACTCTCCTCAAAAGTATTTTTTTTTTTACTATTTTGAGAACCGTGGGACAAGCCCCTTTCTTAAACTTAACAGAACGTGTTTCTCACCTTAGAAATCTTTTTGTTTATCCTACAACCTATTTAATCCCAAATACAACTTAATTATCACAAGAGTGCAAAACTTTATTAACCAACAAGTTTCTACTCTGTTTTTTTTTAACTTTGCAAAAAAGTTCCAGAAGTGGCTAAAGGAGCAACCGCTCTACTATAGCAAAAAGTTCTGCTTTATAGATCACGCCCAAAAAACGGAGCCGTTTTCTTGTCCCCACCCCGAGATCAAACCATTCATTACAGCCCAACGACAGCTTCCAACCGAATGAAACCTCTCTAGGCCTTTCACAACCTTCGGGCCGAGGATATAATTAAGCCACTGCGAGTAACCAGCAGCAGCTTCAGACTCGGCCCCCCCAAAAACGCCGAGCGGAGGCAAACAACTTGCTTCTTGCTGCCGATCTGCACACCCTCAATTCCCCGCAGCGACCAATCGACCTTGCAAAAGGGGCAGTCCTCAGTCACTCCCCAATCACCCACACGCACGAGACACAAAAATAAAAGAGGAGCCGCGGGAGAGGCCGCCCCTCTATTCGCGAAACCCCAGCGGAGATGGGATCCGTCCCAAGGACTCCGGCTGCAGCCGCCCTCCTGCATCAGCCACACAGGCCACACGCTCCTCCATCGCGGCCTTGCCAGATGCGGGACGGCAGGGTCCCCCGGCCGCCTCCCGGGTCCCCCGCCCCTTCCAGCGTGTCCCCGCATTCCTCCCGGTCAACCGCGGCCCAGTCCGGGGTGGGCCCTCGCCGGCGCTCCCCGATCTCCCAGGGGCGAGTTCCCCGGGGGGACCGCTCCCTCCCGGCTCTCCCGAGGCCCCTCCATCCCTCCCGGCGCCGTCCCCCGCGCAGCCCGCAGCCGCCTCCGGGAGGCCTCGGGGCCCGGCCGCGGCCCTCTCCCCACCCCGGGGCTCCTCGCGGGCCCGGAGCCGACGGGCGCCCCCGCGGCCGGGCCCCGCCAGCCCGCCCACCCGCCGCCGCCGCGGCCCCGATCGGGCGCCCGCCCCGCCCTCAGCCGCGGCCCGGCCTCGGCCGCTCCCGCCGCGGCCCCGGGGCCTCGGCCCGCCCCTCCCCCTTCACCTGCTCCATTGCCGGGCACGGAACCCCGTTGAATCGACTCCGTCCGCTCCGCGTTCCCAACCGCACGCGCCGCCTCCTGGAACCTACTAGAAGCTGCCGGGAGCCCCGGATCCCGCCCCTTCCTCGCCTGCTCACTGGTCGCGCTCCCCTTGGGGGCTGTCTCTGCTTCTCTACTATTGGTCTGAAGTCTAGCCTATCATCTTTGCTTCTCTCTCATTGGACCGCGGGGAGTAATCCCCTCTGCCCTGCCTTCCCCGCGCCTCAGGATTGGTCTCTCGCCGACAATCCCCTCCCATCCTACGATTGGAGGGAGGAGCGGACTTCTGCGACAGGGATTGGTCACTCGGTCCGCCAATTATGGCCGAGCTGGCCGCGCCCATTGGTCCTGTTCTTTCTGGAAATTTCCACCTCTCCCATTGGGCTGACGGACCCATGAACGAACCTCCTTCAGATTAAAAAAAATTTCAATTGGGCGGAGAGTTGCCCACACTTGGCGCTGATAGGTTCAAGGGGCTGTCCGTCAAAGGGCGCGTGGGGTTCACCGCTGCGGTGGTTTCTGGGCGTCTGAGGCCCCAGAAGCCTCTGCCGCTCGGGCTCCGGCGGCTGCGGGGACGCTGCCCATGGGTCGCGTCCCCTCGGGTTCTCGCGAGATCGGCCGAGACGACCCGCTGCTCCCTGGGGGCCGAGAGCCGGGGAGGGCTCGGGGGTCCCAGCCGGTGGAGTGACAGTCCTGGTCGTGCGGGGGGCGAGGTTCCTGGCCCGACTCCGGACCCCGCCGGTAGCTTCCGAGTGTCCAGACATTCCGCGTGGCGAGGAGGGCGCCGGGGCTCGGGCTGGACAGACCGGCTCTCCCCGCGGCGGGGCGCCCTCGCTGGTCCCCTCCGTGGAGACGCACACCCTCTCTGAACCTCTCGGGTGACGGACTTGGTGATCCGGGGCCGTGGGAGGGTTCCTATTCATGCAGTAGAGTTTTTAGCGCTTAATGAAAGGGAGCTGCCTCCGATATTGGGATGTAAAGAGATGAAAGAAACAAAGACCTGCGTGAGCGTGGAAGAGACGGGCCTGCGAGATTAAAATGTTGATCCTTCCGCCTGGATCAGTGTGTGGTTCATGGAACAAAGGAGCCGCATGACTGGGGGCTGGAGAGGCTTGGGTGACCGTCTCGGGTCCTGCATTGTCCTGGTTCTTGCCCGTCCCTGGGTCATGCCATCCCTTCCCGGAGGCTAAGGGCCCTCTCTCTCCCAGGAGCTTGTCTCCACGGCCGCCTCTTCCACCCCAGCTGTCTCTGATCCGCTCTTGACTCTGCCCCAGAGTCACTGGATCCAGATGCCTGGTAACCCCCTCCCTCGCTTAAAACCTGGAGGCTGTAGATTGGGGCTCAGGGCCTGTCTAATCTGGCGGCCTGCCCTTCCAACCCCTCCTTTCCCGGTCCCACCTTCAGGGCCAAACTCCAGCCACAGCGACACCTCTGCTCCTCGGCCCCGGCGGGCTCCCTGCCCGCTGTGCCCTGGGCTGGCATCCCCCTTCCACCAGCTCTTCCAGGCTTAGATGAGCTGTCAGGGGTCGTTGGCCACCTACCCCCAGCAAGCACACTCATTTCTGTCCTCCTGTTACTTCTTGTCACAGCACAGTAGGCGACACTTATGTTCCATCACGAGCTAAACCAGTGGCTTTCGTATCAGCGCCACGTTCGGGAGGTTGACATGGGCCTGGTCTCTTTATCCTGGTGTTCCAGGTGCATCGTGCAGTGTCTGGCACAGCGGGCATCTGTTCATCTGCCAAATGTTACTGGATACCCTAGGACGTGTCAGGAGTTATTGTGGGCCCTGGGGAAATGCAGTGCGGTAAACAGACAAAACCCCCGGGCGCGTGGACCCCATCCTCGTGAGGCTGACAAACTAAAAAAAGTTTCTATGGTATGTCTGCTTAAGTGCAGTGGAGAAAAAGAAAGCAGGGGGGAGGTTAAAGGAGCATCGGGCGAGGGGGGCCAGGGCAGACCTCAGTGAGAAGTTAATATTCGAGGAAAATCCTGAGCGAGTGAGATTTTGGAAAATCTGGGGAAGAACCTTGCAGAGGGAACAGCCAATGCAAAGGCCCTGGGGTGGCCAGGATGGCAGGAGCCGAGGGGGAGTGGACAAGCGGGTTGGAGAGGAAGCAGGGCCAGGTCCTGCAGGGTGGGAGGCCGCTGTGTTCACTGTGGAATATCCCAGGAGGTTTGAGCAGAGGAGTGACATGATCCAACTTGGTTTCATCAGGATCCCTCTGCTCGCTGTGCTGGTGGAGAGGGCGGGGGTGAGAGCTGGGACACACCTTAGGAGGCTGCTGCAGTGGTGGCATGGGCCGGGGCGGGAGCAGAGGACGGGGGAGAAAGGTTGGGGCCCGGGTGCATTTTGGACGAGCTGACAGGATGGGGCAATGCATTGGACACAGAGCACGAAGGACGGAGGTGACGCCCAGGCTGGTGGCCTTCTCTCTTCTTCATCCACTGAATTCAGTCTGCCCACCAGCCCTGCAAGTCTCGTGGGCACTGTCTCCAGGCTGCCACACCCGCCAATGCCACTGCGGTCCCCACACCAGCTCTGCCTCCATCATCCTCCCCACAGCCTCTCTCCAGGCTTCCTTCCCATTCCTCCCTGAGTGAGCTGGTCTCGTCATCTCCACACACCTTTTTTATAGCCCTAATGTGTGTGGCACTCTGCTCTTGGTGTAGGGGATCGACAGGGAACAAGGTGGCCCACGGATGCGCTCCTGCTCGCGTGGATCTTATCTTCTAGCGGGAGAGAGACACACAACACTTCAACTCACCAGCTGTGTGACTTCAAGCCACCTGCTTAACCTCTCTGTGCTTCAGTTGCTTCCATTTCAAAATGCGGATGAAAAAGTTTCGATGTCAGAGTAGTTGTGAGATTAAATTATTTGATATTTGTAAAGTACATGGAACAGTGCCTGACCACAGAGTGAGCACTACATGCATTTAAATAGAAATAAATGCACAAATGGAGATAACTCTAGACAGTGGTGAGCCTTATGAAGAAAGCGTAAGGTAAGGGATGAGCGTAACCAGGGAGGCAGGGAAGGAGGGAGTGCCTACAGGTGGGTGGTTAGTGAAGGCCCCTTACACCTGGAGTGATGAGAAGCCAGCCCAGGACAGGCTGCCAGGCTGGGTGACAGAATGTGCAAAGGCCCTGAGGCTGAAACAAGCTTGGAATTTTCAAGGCACCCAAAGAAGGCTTTTCTATGCTGTAGTGTCTCTAAATGGGGATGATGAAGTGTCAATGACATCCCAAGATTACTATAAGGATTAAACAAAATAACTTATACTCAAGTCTTGTTAGACCCAAAACTTATAAAAATTCGAGAGCCCTCTTTGAGGAAAAATAAATTAAAAAATGAGCTGTGTAGCTTTAGAAGGGATGTGAATGGGGGACCCAGTAAAGCCACTTCTGCTCATTGACAAATGTTAGCTTTTATAATTTCCACGAACTTGGGCTTCTCCAGGTTTCTCCATGAACTCAGAGCTCTCCCGAGGTGGGCAGGGAGGCGGTGATGCGGGCTGGCCAGTGTCCCCGTCCCCAGGGCCCTGGAACACGAGCAGAAGCTCGGGCACAGAAAGCGTCCTGGCCCGTGCATTGCGTGACAGCTCCCGAGTGAATCATGCTGCTATTCTGGGGCCGCTGCTCTCCAGGGCGGGGAGCAGGATGGCGAGGGCTGTGTTTGGAGTCGCCTCTGAGGCCACAGATCCGGCAGCGAATGACAGCCCGAAGGGATCAACGTGGGTGACCAGCTTCTCTGCAGAGCAAACCTCCAGGGTGAAAGTTCTCCCAAGATCCAAAAAAATCAAACGGCTAGAGCTCAGGAAGCTTAGCATGGTGGCGAGAGGTGGGCGAGATGGAAGGAGGGCAGATTGGAATTCTGGGGTCTGTGGAACGCGAAGTTTTATTTTATAAGAATTTTCCCCACGGGAGCGGGAATTTACCACAGCCTGGGTTTCCCTCTCCACGGGAGGAAGTTCCATTCTGGGTTCTGAGAAATTCCTAAAGAATATTTCGCTGAGTGCTCCTCACCCCAGCTGTCCTGCCAAGACAGAATCTGAGTCCTGATTAGCCGGGAAAGGGGGCGGGGGACGAAGTTCCAGAGAGTTCTGTTCCATCAATGACTTTGTCCAGAGAGCGGAGCGCCGTGCCAGCTGATGGCAATTTTTATCTGATAATGATTCCTCAGAGAGCTCCAGGGCCCAGCCGGGGGCCTTGTCGTCCACCCCCCTCCCAGGAGATCTCAGCCAATCTCAGGGCTATAAATAGCATCTCCGATGACTCCTGCATTTCTATCTTCAGCTCCCATCTCGCTCCCAAGTTTCAGGCTGGTCTGCCCAGCTGCCTCCTTGCTGTCTCCGCTTGGATGGAGGATGGACTTCCCAGCGTGTCCAGATCGGAGCTCTGATCTTCTTCCCCTGGGCAGGCCTCCCTGGACTTCCCTCTCATCAATGGCCTCCCTCCTCCTGGGCTGGTTCAGGCTGGAAGCTCTGGAAGCATGCGTGACCCCACCCACTCTAGCCTATCGGCAAATTCCGTCGGCTGGACATAGACCGCTCGGCGACTCCCCGGCCATCTCCTCCTTTGACCGGGATGGGGAAAGGAGTGTGGGCTCCTGGAGTTGCTAGGTGGCCAGACATCGTGGGAGGGGACCCCCAGCCAGGGCTGCCAGGCCACATCCTATGAGCAGTGTGGGGTTGGGGAGGGGGATGGGAGGAGAACGGCTGTATTCGGGGACCACTAGGTGAGGCCAGTGAGGACATCGATGAGGACAGCTATTAGTAGGTTAGTGCCCTTCCCAAGGTTCAAGGCAGCACACGCTGTCCCCCAATTTGGGATCACGTGGATGAACCCCAGTCACAACTGGGATCAAATTTCCTGACAGCTGGGTAGGATGGAGGCTTGGAGTCTGAAGGAGTTGATTGCAATGCAGTGGTTCTCAGCCAGGGCCAATCGTGCCCCAGGGGCCATTTGGCAATGCTGGAGACATTTTTGGTTGTCACAATTCGGGGGAGGGTGTTCTATAGAGTCTGGGATGCTGCCGAACATCCTACAACATACAGGGCGGCTCCCCACAATTATTTGGCCCCATGGGTACATACAACCGAGGTTGGGCCCT